TACAGAAAGTTACAACACAGAGTTTTCAAGCCAGAAGAGACCTTAGAGCTGGGGTTCTTAATCTGGGATCCACAGACCCTCAAGGAATCCATGGACAAGTTTCAGGGGGTCAGTGAACTTGGATGCAAAAAAATGACATAATTTTCACTAGCCTCCACCTGAAATATAGCATTTCCTTCAATTATCTAAAAATATAATTTTGAGAAGGGGTTCCACAGGCTTCATCAGACTTTCCAAGGGTAAAAATTCCTACCTTAGAGCATGGAATTATTAGAACATAGAACACAAACTGTTAGAACTTACATTACTACTACTACTACTGTGCTTTAAAGTTAACAAAGCACTTGTTAAATATTATCGTGTTTTATCCTCGAATCAACCTGAGAGGCAGGTGCTGTAATTATCCTATTTTACTGATAAGGAAATTGAGGCAGGCAGTGTTTAAGTGACTGGTTGTTTGTGGTCACGCTACCAAAAGGTATCTGAGGCGGGATCTGAAATCAGATCTGTCCTGACTCCAAGTCCAAAACCTAGCTGTACCATAGAATGATGGAACTGGAAGACACCATCAGACAGAGAACATTAGAACAGAGACAAAGAGTGTTAAGGCACCTTAGAGATTATTTAGTCTAATTCCCTAATCTTACAGACTGAGAACTAAGGCCCAGAGAGGGGAATGACATATGAGGCTGGTTTCTTTTTCCTCCTATTTCCTTTCAGCTCAGCCATTGGTTTTGAAGAGGTTTTTGTTGATGCGGAAAGAAATTCTAAGCAGGGTTACAGTTTATCAATGTTCCCAAGTGCGGGCTGTTTTCCTTCCTCCCTTGATGGGTGTCTTGCCGCCTGTCGGAGCTTTGGCTGCACAGGCAGTGGTGCATAATATTGAATGTCGCAAATGTAAACATGCACCATAGATTATATTATTATTTGTTGAGCTCTGACAGCCTGCTCGGTGTTGTACAAGATGTACTGGGAAATTCGGCCTCGGCCCTGGGGGGCTTGTAATCGCTTTCAGGCTTGCAGAACGAGAGCACTGGTTGGATCAGAACAAACGAGGAACCAGCCACAACAACGTTCAGACACCACAAAGTGAACAGCAAAATGACTAGCAACCAAAAATTTCCCTGGCATGTTTATTATTTATAGCTCCAATTTAATAAAAGGGCATACAATCCTGGAAGGCCTCTGGATAGAATTACACTTTTAAGTAATAGCTGGGAGCTTGTCATCAAGGAGGGGGCTGGGGAGAAAGTAGCCAACTAGGTTCTGTTTGCTGGGGAAGGCCACCAGGAACTAAGGCTATGAATTGTACTCATTCTGGTCCTGGTTCTCTTATTAACTCGTTCTGTAACTTTAGGAAAGTAATTTTTTATCTCTGGGCCTCAGTTTCCCCTAAGTGCCTGCTCTGTATGGGTTTAACTAGACGAGTTTAACCGAAATGACCTCTATATTCTCTTGCCATCTCCAGCATTTGATGTTCTATGAGTTTAAGGGATCCATCACCTCTAACATTCTTTCATAGGAGCACACATTGGTTAATGACATTCTACCAAACAACAAAAAGGAAGAATTTAGAGAAACTTGCTAAGAGCTGTGTATACTGACAGAGTGATGCAAGCAGAGGAAAGAGAACAATTTACACAATGACCACAGTGCTGAAAGATATCTGAACTCGGATCCATGCAGTGACCAATCTTGACCCTGGAGGACTGATACTAAACCACACCCCACCTTTCAGGAAAGAGGTCACAGACTTCAGGGACAGAATCATTCATGGCTAGCATGTTGGTTTGTTTTGATTTTTAAGGGAGGGGTCTATTGGGAGTGGGTGGGTAGAGGTTACTGAGAAGTAACAGTGATGTTAAAAAACTAATAAAACATTCTTTTAAAATATGCCTTCTTACGTTTATTCACATATACATGTATACGTCTTTATTCCATCCATATTTCCTGTAAGAGTATAAGCTCCTTGAGGGCAGGGACTATTTCACTTTAAAAATTTTTGGATCTCCTCAGCTGATGGCAGGACCTCACTTTCTTTTTGCTAAGTTGACCCAACTGCTTCAACCATTTATTAAATATCTAATACATGTAATGCCTTGTGCTGACTGATGAGGAAAAAAGAAGGAGACAGAGAATGGACTTGTGATTTCTTCTGTGTAGGAAACTCCTAGATGATGAAACTCCCTCTTCTGATACATGTCATCATTTTTTATTTTTGCAATTTATAGTCTTGGCGAGATGCTCACAAAACTGAGAATTTCAGTGGCCTGCCAAGGATCACACAATCAGTATGTATCAGGGGCAAGACTCAAACCCAGGCCTTCCTAGTGCCAAAGCCAGCTGTCAATCCATTATACCACGTTACTTCTCATACAGTACAAAAAAAAACCCAAAGGGAAATAGATATATAAGACACTTTGTCTTCAAAGGGCAAGGGAGATAACACATGTATACAGATAAATATAATACATAATGTAACAGAAACATACTAAATTGTAAGGTCTATAAAGGTAAAGATCAGGTTTTAAACATCCTTGTTATCTTGTAATTTTTCTAGATGATGTTGGATTATGCCTTTGTCCAATTCGTACTTTACCTTATATGATTCTACTTGTTCATGTCATACCCCTCCTATTAACCTGAAAGCCCTTCGAGTATTGTTTTTTTATCACAAATTCTGTGCATTGAACACAGGGCCTTTGCACACAACAGATGCTTAAAAAGCAATGGCTGAATTTTAACAAAGAGCATCCCCTTATATGATGCTATGCTTGTAGAACAATGCTCTCTTTTTCGTATTCATGTGCCATTGCCCACCTTTGCATCCATCTTTTATAATTATCTTTCAAAAGTTAGATTGATTGATCAGTTCTGTGTATATACCCATCTACATCTACAGGCAATTTCCCATTTCTCCTTATTAAAGCTGTGTATGTTTGGCATCAAAAACTCCTGTACCAGTTTCCCAAGAACTTTGTTGTTGTTGTTTAGTCATTTTATTTAAAAGCATTCAAAAGCTTTGCTCTGAGACAAGACCCACAGAAGTCACCAGGCTGACTGACTAACACAAAAAAGGTTAAGAATTCCTAATTCATACTGATTTTCTTGCATGGCTCATAATCGGGGTTAGGAAGTCCTTGAAGGCAGCACCCCCTAATTTGGATGCCTAATTTCTGGTAGGTTTATCTGAATGTCTCATGACTTCATCATCACACCTCATCCTTTATAGTCAGGAGGACTACATAGTTTTTCTTAATAATAACCATGGGAATCTACTGAGCAGATGGTCACAGCAAATGATACTCAATAAGGCACTCCATGCTTACATTGCTAGATGTGTTTTTATTATCCAATGGCTTTGACTCTAAGTAGAAACCCTGTTGAAGGCTTCTTGTCAGATCAGTGAACAGAGCAGGGCAAAAATAAATAGCTCATAATGGTGCCCAAAATGGTCTGAAAGCATATCACATTTTGAGAAGGATAAGACTATTAAATTAACTACACACCTAGAAAAGTTACCTCTAAGCATCTGAAAGGGAAGGCCATGGTTATACTACTGATGAGATTTCCCCAAGGGCTAACCAGGCAGATTCTAATTCTAGAGAATTACAAAACCAACATTTGTCAGTCTTGGAAGGGATTTTATGTTAGAACATAAAAAATAGGACCTCGGAGAGAGAAGTCACCTTAGAAAAGATGATCTTAGAACACCAAATGTCAGAGCAAGAATTGACCTTAGGGGACATCAACGCCAATGCATTTATTTTACAGAGGAGGAAAATAAGGCAAGACTACATTGTAGAGGCAGCTGGGTTGTCTAGTGGATAGACAGCTGGGCCTGGAGTCAAGAGGACCTGCATTCAAATGTGACCTCAGACACTTACTAGCTAGGTGACCCTGGTCGAGTCACTTAACTCTACGTGCCTCAGTTTCCTCATATGTAAAATGAGCTGGAAGAGGAAATGGCAAAGCAATCCAGTACTTTTGCCAAGAAAATCCCAGATGGGGTCATGAAGAATCAGACACAACTGAAAAACAACTCAACAATAATAACAACAGCAATGTAGGACTCTTTGCTCTTGGCTTCCTCATCTGTTTCATGGGGACACAGTTCTGTGTTCTTTCTACTTCATAATTTGTCTGTCTATCTCTCCAAGCTGCCAGAGCAGAGTCACGCTGTTATTTGGCCCATTGAGCATCAATTAAGAAACCAAGCAGCTCAGGATATGATGAGGAGAGTTCAAGCAGCTAGATATCCCAGCAGTCACTCTGACAAATTATTCTGTGTAGCTCCGGCAGACAGAACTGGGACCCACGGCTGGCACAAGTTACAGGGAAGCGTATTTCAGCTCAATCTAAGAAAGAACTTTAAACACTCAGAGCTGTCCAGTAGTGGAAAGGGATGCTTGGGATGGGGATAATGAGGGGCCCATCAATGAAGGTGTTAGAGCAAAGGCGGAAGACCTTATGTTAGGAATGTTTCCTAAGGGACCACGGCAAGAGAGCTAGGGATGGGGTGGGGGGGGGGGAGAGAAGGGCAGTGGAAGGGAAAGAAGGTTAGACTAAATGATCTTCCAAGTTCCTTCAAAGAATAAAGAGTCCTGCCCTTCTTGCTAGGAAGAAATAATCCTTGGTTGTTAAAAACTGGAGAAATCCTATTTTAATTGGAGGCAGGAACAATCCATGGTTGTTAATAACTGGAGTACTCCTGGGCTTTGGCCATTGCTGTCATTCTAATCCTCTCCCCTGGAGTCTCCCTGCCTGGCCTTGTGAGGATTGAGGTAGAATAATGTGGTGATACGATCATAGGACTTGTGACCAGGAGTGCTGGATTCATATCCCAGCTCTGACATTTACGAGTCATTACCATGGTCAAGTAACTTTCCTGCTCAGTTTTTCCCCTCTGCAAAATGGGCATAATAATTCTTGCATTCCCTGCCTCACAGGGTCATGGTAAGGAAAGTGTCTGTCAAGTACCATAGACACGGGCCACTTACCCTCCGTCGAAGGGATTCTCTCCAGGGACAATGTGAGTACTGTCCTTTCCCACGAGGAATTTGATGCGATCATAGAAGGAACGCAGGTTCTGCGAGGATACGGGGGCCTGTGTCTCCTGGATGATGTCCACAGGGTCAGGCGAACCAAGGCACAGAGCACTGACATGACACTGGGGCTGTAAGCAGCAATCAGGGTCCATGCAGTCCACCAAGCCATCTGTGGAAAGACCAGAGGGTATTACTAATTTACTATGGGTAGGCCCCAAAACTCATGGGTTGTAAGAGGCAAAGCTGGAAATGAAACCCGGTTCTTTTGACTTCAAATCTAGGGCCCTTTCCAATATGATATGTAACTATATAACACGTAAGGAAATCTGTAATTATACCAGGGCCCCTAGGTGGCACCATAGTGCGCAGAGTGCTGGGCCTAGAGTCCAGAAGTCTCATCTTCTTGAATTCAAATCTGGCCTTGGACACTTAGGGCTGGGCAAGTCATTTCACCCTATTTGCCTCAGTTTCCTCATCTGTAAAATGAACTGGAGAACGAAATGGCAAATTATGCCAGTATCTTTCCCAAGAAAACCCAGAAGGGGTCAACAAAGAGTCGGACACAACTGAAATAACAACAACAACAACAACTAATAATAATAATAATAATAATAATAATAATAATAATAATAATAATAACAGTAATAAGTGGAAATTTCCTTACTTGGGAATTCCCTTCACCAATAAAATTATAGGTCCATTCCCTATCTCTAATTAATAGGAAAAGAATAACAGCAATAATAGCTTAGATTTATACTGCACTTTAAGGTTTATAAAGTGCCTTACACAAATTATCTCATTTGATCCTCACAACAACCCCATGTGGTGGGCGCTATGATCATCCCCATCATACAGATGAGGGAACTGAGGCTCAAAGTGACTAAAAAACTTGCCCAAGGTTACATAACTATTGTCTGAGGCAAGACTTGAACTCAGGTCTTATTAACTTCAAGTTCCTCATTTCTATTCACTATGTCAAATGCATACAGCATGGGCCAGACGTCTTCAGGAAGCTTCAAAGCTTAAAAACATCATATTTATAATCAGATACAATAGTGATAATTTCTAGAAAATCTATCTAATGTGAGAGGCAGTGTATCCTAATGGTTGGGGAGCCAGCCTCAAAGTCAGGACGGTCTGCATTCAAGTCTTCTGACCCATCCCACATGGGCCTTGTGATCCTGAGCAAGGCACCTAACTTCTCCATAAGGCAGGCAACCCTCCCCCAAACCTGCAAACCGCAGAACACATGCCAATAGACATTGATAGAAGGAGTTTCCTCAGTGGGTGAAATCACAGATCTGGTCTTAAAAATAAACCTTTTTTTTTTTAATTAAAAAAGTCCTACATAAAGCAGGGCAGTGTTAACCTTGAGAGAGGTCTCTAGGGGTGACCATCCCAAGATTCTGACCTTAACTTTTATCTGTCGAACATTTTTATCCATGACTTTGATGAAAGTATTAATGAAATGTTTCTCAAGTTTGGATGACACAAAATTGAGAACAAAAGCGAATACGATGGATTACAGAATTAGGGTCCAAAAGGATGAGTAGATTCATGTATATTCTTGCACTCAGGATAAAAAAAATAAGCCCGTGAAGGAGTGAGTAGGAAGCAGTTTATATGAAAAGGACTAGGGAGTCCTATAAATTGGCAACTCTAGATATGAGTCAGGCATATGATGATAAGGAAGGCAAAAAAAAAAGCTAATGTGATTCTAGCATGTCTCCATAGAGACACAGAGTCCCAGAGCAAGGAGAGTGATGGTCTTAAAGTATCTGTCCTGGTCAGGTCACAGTTGCAGTATTTTTTCCAAGTTTTGCCCCATTTTGAGGGGTCACTGATGATCCTGGCACACACCTAGAGGCAGATGACTAAGAGAAGGATCACATACCATTGGGTGGAACAAGTGAAGAAGGAACTGGGGATGTCTAAGCTAGAGAAGAGAAGACTAGGGGGGGATACTGTTCTATTCAAATTGCAATCAATCAATGATCTATCGATTTATTATCTGGAGGGTTTTCATGAAAAGAAAACTGACTTAAACTTGTCCTCTTGGGATCTCATCAGTAGAACTAGGATCCATGGATACAATTTACAGGGAGGCAGATTTCGCTCAAGAGAAGGAAAAATTTCTGAACAATAAAATGGAATGGACTGTATTTATGGTGATTTATATTTATAGTCATTTCCCCATGATTCTAAGTATTAAAGGAAGAATTGAGCACTACTTGTTGCTGATGTTAAAAACAGAATTAATAATTTGTGTAGGGGTTAGATTGGCTAATCTTTGAGATTGCTCACGAATCTAAAATTTTCATAATTTTATGATAGCTCTACTTTAATAGTAATAATAGTAACAGCTAGAATTTGTACAGCACTTCAAAGTTTGCAAAGTGCCTTACAAATATTGTCTCATTTTATCCTCACAGCAATCCTGGGATGTAGGTGCTGTTATTATGCCCCATTTTAATAGAAGAAGAAACAGAGGCAAACAGAGGTTAAGTGCCATGTCAGGGTCACACGGCTAGTATCTAGGGTTGGATTTGAACTCAGGTCTTTCTGACTCTAAGTTCAGCACTATTTAACACACTACCTAAATGTCCATGTGAATCATTAAAATAGCAACTAGTTATTACAAAATAATCTGTTAAAAAAGGAGTTAGGACACTAAACACGATTTAAAAGAACTAAGCCAGGGCAGCTAGGTGGCGCAGTGGATAGAGCACCGGCCCTTAAATCAGGAGGACCTGAGTTCAAATCCAGCCTCAGACCAAACACTTGACACTTACTAGCTGTGTGACCTGGGGCAAGTCACTTAACCCCGATTGCCTCACTAAACAAAAAAAAAAAAAAGAAAAAAAGAACTAAGCCAAGTAGGTACAATACATATCTCTTTCTCTAGACTGTTACCCATGACTGCTTAACTTAATCTAGCTTGCTGAAGCCTGAGAAGAGATTATTAGGAACTTCTGCTCAACATCTGAAGACTGTTGGCTATTTTCCTTCTGGAGCAGCTACTTTGGGGAATCTTCAATATCAAACACTTTTACTTAACAAGTATCCTAATTGCTCTAGCAAGGACTCTGTTTATGGGTCTAACCAGGAACTGAAAGTCAAAGCACCTTATTCTTTGTGAGTTCCCTAAATAAAGAATTGTTCGCAAAGTCTCATTATGGTGTGACTCTCTTTCCCCATCCTTCAATCAGAAAGTTTCCTTGACAATCTCTTCTTTTTCACCCCTTATTTTCTTGCTCCTTTGCCTACAACAGTTGCCTCCTGCCCGGCTTTTCTAGTCTTAGCGATCCATTAAGCTTTAGCATCTCCATGAAGTCTTCCTAGATTCCCTTAACAGGAAGTGATCTTTCCCTATTCTGAATGACCTCTGCTCCTCTCTTGTCCCACCCTTCACATTCTGCCTTGTATTTTGATTCACGGTGCATTTGTCATATTCCCCCCAACTCCGCCTCCGTGAACATGAGGTTGATGAGGGCCAGGATCTTATCTATCTATCTTCTTCTTTGTATTCAATCCATAAAATGGCTTTGATGTAGGAGGAACTTAGCCCATGCCTACTAAATGAATGCACGAGTGGCCTATGCTCTTAGCTGTTTTCCACAAAGCAGGTAGGGGTCATGTATACTGTCCGATGAAGCGTCAGCTATAGCAACATGGCACACATCTGCCCCTCTGCTCTCTTTAAATTATTTTTGTGCTGCAGTTCAGCCAAGATTGCAGCTTCAGCTGAGATGAAATCACCCATGAGCCACGTTCCAGAGGCTGACCACAAGCTGCTCCCCCTTCCTGGCTCCGTCTGTGCAGATGCCCTTGGTGGGAACGAGGCACAGGGGCCAGGAGACAAGAAGGCACTCGGCTTTCTTTGCAATTGGCATCTGTGCATTTCAGGATGAAGTATCCACTCCCCCTCCCTCCAGAGCACAGCCCAGTAAACGTATGAGGCTCTATGCACCAAATAGACAAGACAGCTTGGAGATGCAACATGCTTTCCCGAGTTAAATGGGGATTCGGACACTCTAATTTATGGCTTCTGCTCTCAGGGACCCATCCTTCTTCTACATATGATCTTTATGCATATCACTTAACCCTTCTGGGACTCATTTTCTTTTTTAAAAAATAGAGCTGCTGTTCACAGACTGTCAAAGCTGGGAGGAACTTGAAATGCAGAATGTGAGAACACCAAACACAGAGTGTCAGAGCTGAAAGGGGCCTGAGAACTGACACCCATGGACCCCTAGAGTATAAAGGGACCTTGATCATCACCAGCTTCACAGACTTGCGGACGCTCACAGCTTATCTAAGTCAATCTCTAACTCCTCTACAGCTTTAGCTAGAGGACCACCAGTGAAGATCACTTGTCCAAGGTCACACAGAGAATTAGTGGGAAAGTGAGAGCTTTTCGGCCTTCCTGAGAGTACATCAAATAGAGTTTGGAGAGTGATTTCCTTGCTTAGTGAGGAAGGTAGTATATTAACCCCATTTTACAGATGAGAATACTGAGGCTCACAAAGGCTATGGAGGCAGCCACTGAAACAACTGGGATTTGAACAGGCATCTGAAATCCCTTGGAGTGGGATGATAAGGATGAGACTGATGGAGGAGGCATCAAGGGCAATGACAGGATAGAGAGGATTTCCAGAGGTGGAGATAAGGGGGAAGACATTCCAGGTACAGGAGTCTCACCACACACTCACACTGAAGGTCAGAGACAAGTGATTTCAAACTTGTTTCCTTCCCACCCCACACCGACCTTCTGCTTCACATGGGCAGCCTGAGGGTTGACCTTGCCCCACAGGCTGCAAGGTTGACTGGGCAGTTTTCATTCCGGCCTTAAATGAGGAGGTGGAAACAGGTGGGCTCTGAAGCCCCTTTCAACTCTAACTGCTTACACTCTATTCTCTAACATTTTATATTCTAAAGTCCTTTCCAGCTCTAAGAGTCACAAGATTATAGAACTATAGAGCTGGCGTGAGAAGGGATCCCATAGCCCATCTAGTCCAACACCTTCATTTTACAGATGAAGGAACTGAGGCCAGGAGACATTGAGTGCCAAGCCTAAGGTCACCCAGATGGAGAGAGAAGAAGGATATAATCACAAGTCTGTCACAGCAGATCCATTATTCCTTCCACTCTGCCTCAACCTACACTTTG